TTTTAAGTATAATAATAATAAAAGCTGTTTGTATATGTGTGTGTGTGTGTGTATGAAATAAAAATGTGTGATAAAGTTGGGTCAAACTTTAAATATACTAAAATTTTTTTAATTACTTACACAATCTATACCTTAAAAAACTTATATTTTTCTTGAATACAGAGATCCAAGAAAAATAAATAACATGATATTTGGGGTGTCCCGTACACGAGGATGTAAAATCAGCGCGAGGAATTGTGTTTGCAGTGGAGGATGATAGAAGAGACAAACTCCGCTAGACTATTGCAATGTATATCACAAAAAGTTACAAAGAGAGAAACTACAATTAGACAAAAACAAATAAAAATAATAATAATCGCGTTATTAGATTGCGTTATCGTTCTTCTCGTCACCAGGCACCAGAAATATACGTAAAGGTACATTCAAGAGACGTACATAATCTTAGGACAGGCATGCGTCCGCGATATATGACGATAATGTGCGAACGTGCAACTTGCATATTTATTATTGTTATTCAATGCGTACATATGTATACGCATAAAGCATGTACATATATACGTGTATGTATGCATTAAATGTATAAACATATATATATATATATTATTGAAACGCGTCTTGGAGGGTGCTTTCGGACGTGCGATATAATATAACGTAATATATTTTCATATATATATATATATATATAATATAATATATTTTTTTTTTCTTTATTCGCAACATATGTATCTGTATTTTTGTGCAAACTACCCTCGAAATCCGCGCGATTTCCTCCGTCACTTCTATTGCTGACATATAATTATATTGTACATAACAATAATAATCTATGAAACTTTTCCGATAGATTATCCAGACACTTTATAATCGGAACATGTATATCTAAAGACATTTAAAATTGATTGAAAATTAACGAAATAATTTAATCAAATCGTATGCAATTTATTTTTTAATTAATTTTTTAATGTTTATTGGAATTTAGAGCTTCGATCAAACGATCGCATCATTGCAATCTGTTTAAAAATCTTTTCATGACTGCACACGATTCTGTATAAATCTTACCAGAGAAAATTCTGTGAATGCTGACAGAAAATTAATATAGATCTCGATCTTGAAAAAATATTGAAAAAGGCGCGATAATATAAATAATGCGTATTGCAATGTAAAAGTACATATTATTTTTATTAATTTGTTTTATTATCGTTATTAAAAGATACGCTTTTCTCTCTTCGCCTTTTCCGAATTAGTTGCGATCGATTAACTATGATCGATTGCAAATTCTACTGAAAAGTAAAATTTGTACACAGCTCAAACGGTAAACATTCTTTTCCTCTTCTTTTGGACAATTTTGGACAAAAACGGAAGAAGCGCGATATAATTGGCGCTTAAACTCCTCTCTCTCTCTCTCTCTTCCTCTCTTTTTCTTCATATATAATATATATATACCATTTAACGCTTAAATAAAATATCTGCATCGTGAATAGAATAATATAATAATAATATTAATAATAATATAATCGCATTTCGCTATATCTCACGTTTTGCTCCATTGAACGCGCCGCGTCTCCTTTAAAGCCTAAACGTATCTCGCGCGCTCTTCTAACTAATACCCGCTGTTACAGATAATAAAATTAGAAAATAAAATAATGAACGCATTAATCCGGCCATGTGTCTAAAAAAAAGAAGAATAGCAGACAGCACTATAGTAACGTAGTGATATAGTAATTGTACGTAACTAAATCATAAGAAGTAAATTCGTCGTTGCTTGCGACGCGCCTTGGAAAGTGGAGAGGAAAGGTGACACATTCTCATAAATGTGTTACCGAAGACCTTGCAACAAAATGATTCGTAAGATTAAAAGATTTTTGTCACTGATATAAATTTGTCAATTTTTTTTTAAATCTCAGAATTCGTTGTAATATTTCTTAAATTAATATCAATGATCTCAATTTTTTTTTGTGGCTATAAAAGTTATGTATATTATCATACCACACAAAAAGAGCACTATAAGTAATAATTCTGTATCCGAAGAGATCATTTATGGTACCACGATGTATGTCAAATCACTCTAATTATTACGCGGTCTATGTAGATAAGAATTATCATCACGACTTTGATAACTTGAGGCGAAGGTCTTTTGCCGAGGAAGAAGTCACAAATACGTGCACATTCCCTCTCATATCTATATATATCTCTTTTTCTCTCTATACATATATTCTGTTAAACACTATTTTCTCGCTTGCTTTCTCTCTCTCTCTCTCTCTCTCTCTTTCTCTCTCTCTCTCTCTCTCTCTCACACACGCTCTCACATGCATTTACAATTTATTCTATCATTTACACGCGTACACGGATAACGTCAATGCGGAAGACCAAAATACTGCTTTCGGTTCTCGATACTCCTTCGAAAGCTCTTGCTCAACAGGGTCAATTAATTGACAAGGACATACATTTGTGCATAGAAACTATGCTCGCCATCGTCTTCTTAAAGAATTAATTGACAGTCGGTCTTATCCTGTATTGTCTCACTCTTTCTCTATCAACAGTGTCCCGAACTGGAGAGATAGATCTCTTCATTTAGGTCTTCATGGACAAAAGAATGCAGGAGAAAAGGAGAAACACAAGAGGCTCCAGTCGGGCTCGTTAGACACATTCATACATTTATATGGTATTCCGTGTACATATACAATATATAACGTCTTTCTATGTGTGCACGTGCGTTTGCTTATATACTTAATAATAGTAATAATAATAATATAGTTAGTTTAATAATTCATTTTTATATCCATGCTGGTCCAGAGCTAAAAGTTAATAATCCTTACCGAACAAGTAATAATAAAAATAATAATAATAATAATAATAGCTGTAATATAGTAACAGTGACAATAAAAATAATTGCGATTGTAATAGCAAGTGCGAGAATAATCGATAGCAGCAAGTAACTAGTTAATAATCGATAATCAATGCTTCTATAATACATTTTCCTGGAAGAGACAAAAAACAAGAAGATATTCAGGGAAGAAGGGAAAAAATCTGTAACACCGTGGTTGCTATACAGGATACTTCACATATTCGTATTTCTTAAAAGAATTTTCTTCTCTCTCTTTTTCTCTCTCTCTCTCTCTCTCTCTCTCTCTCTCTTTCTCTCTTCATAATTTTTATTATAAGGCCACACTAATATATTCTGTAATAAATATACACTTTCTTATTTCTTTTTTTATTTTTTTTCTTCGCGTGTATTTCTAATTAAAATGTTAATTCTCTGCTCGGTTTCACGAAATAACAGTTTGCTTCTTCCTTTTCATTTTTAGCTTTATACACACTTCTTCCCTTTTTTTTTATTTTCTTACAGGTGGAAAATTCTATAGCGAAGCAGGAATGCATTGTTTGGTCAAACTAAAAATTGGAGCTTATTCAAGATTGAATATTAAATAAATTTTCAAATTAAATTTCAAGATTTAAATCGGCAGATATGATTTTACATTTAATTCTGAGTGAGAGTAGTTATAATTAAAAAAAAAACACGCTTAAATGGAGTCTTAACAGCTAGAATTTAATGTAAAATTAAAAAGATACATTATACGGACAAAAAAAATATTTGACACGTCGAAATAGAAATTGTGCGCTTTTTAACAACCGTTCGCGAAATATTAGAAATTAGTGTAAAAATTCATTTCGTCATTTTTTCATGAAAAAAATTCGTTCTCTAATCGCTAGGGACCCCGAATAATCAAAATGTCGGAAATGGATTTTCTCGAAACAACACATATACCACAAGTGTTCTAACAAATGTTCTAAATATGTTTTCGCGTAAAAAAAAATAGTTCTCGCTCTCAATTTGATAATTTAATATTGATTTCCGAGTTTTTGAAATACTTGATCCGAGAACCACTTTTTCAAGCTACAAGAGTTTACGATCTTGCCTCGTGGTGCACGTAGAAAAAATTTACCGATATATCCTCGCAATGACGAGAAATCTTCTCTTACACTTTAAACAGTTACATATTTTGTCTCACTTATATAATCATATCAAATAATCACGTTGTTCATGCATCTTAATAGAATTTAATAAATAGAACGATTCGTAAAATATTCCTCCCGTCATAATGCACATGCACCACGATTTCCTTTTCCACATGTCATACACGCTGACTTGATGAACAAACGAGGATTGAGCCCGTTATTGCACAGAGTTCGAGGATCATATAATACTAACGTACACAGGAAGCGAGGAAAGACTCTCTTCTTCTTTTCCTTCTCCTCATTTTTGTCTTCTTTATCATCACATATCATATCATCTCTCCTCTAGATTTCCTTTGAGTTCGCTCTCTCGTTTGTTCGTTTCTTCTCTTTAGGGAACTTGCCTCTTCCTTTTTAAGAAAGCCTCCTCTCGCTTCGCGGAAGACACGGCGAAGTGGATCATTATCGATCATTACCATCATCGCGGGGGTGAGATGGGCTACGCGATTGGTCCATGACCAAACTATCTTTCGGCGTGGGATGACATCTTACGTATGCTGGCAAACGCGATGATCATTGCAGCAACAACGGATAATTTTTTTAAAATATGCGGAACATATCGACTTTTTTCGATAGTATATCTCGCGAGATTTTCATTTAGTTTCGTGAGAAATAACCTGTTTATTTATTTATTAATCACCGATTTGTTTGATTCTAATAATGAAGATGGACAATTTACAGCATTAATAAGTTAATTAAAACTGCACAAAATTTTTCATTTTCAAAAAGATGTAATATAGAAAATATATTCTAATATATTTGTGAAATATATTCTCTTATATTTTAATAAATATAGTTTAATAATTATACATATTATATATATATTTTTTATATAATTATACATATATTAAAATATATTGTTTATAAAAATATATTAGAATATATTGTTTATCAAATATATTTCGTATACAATTATAGCATTATTTTTCTTTATATCACGACAGAAGGAAAATAAGAATATTTTTGCAGATAACTTAATCATTGCTTCTGTTTCTAGATTTTGCAAATTGAAAACCGTGATTTTATTCACCCGTCGTTACTCAACGCCGTTCAGGAGCGACTGCCGCGCCTGAAGGTCGTCGCCCTGGCTGCCGCGGCCGTGGTTCTGGATATCGCGGTGGCACCGAGTCTCCTCGCATGCCTCTGAACCGCCGCCGGACCGATCGGCAGCCCACCTCGCCCTCGCCCTGCCCGCTAAGGTCCACCAGGCATGAAGAAACTAAACGGCATGACGCAGTCCTTGGGCATGAAGCAGTCATGCACGGTCTTCATATGATTCTTCATCTTGTCTGGTCGCGAGAATTCCTTGGCGCATACTGGACAGGGGAATACCTTGCGCTGATGACCCTCGTGGTAGAGGAATGCGTGCCGCTGGAAGCTGTACTTGTTTTTAAATGTCTTCTGAATGTCGAGCTTGGCGCACTCGGTGCATTGATAGACGCCTTCGCTGATGGAAGCATAACGGAACAGATTTAAGCCTCGCACAGACATTTCTGTCAACTGCTCAGCTGGATCCTGGGATTGCGATGTGGCGCGACGTCGCATACGTCGCTTTGGGGCCTGACGGCCACTTGGCGCCGACATCGTGCCAATGTTGGTGTTCGTGCTGCCACCGCTGCTGTTCCTAGAGGCCGGCGATGCCGAGCTACGTGTCAATGTGCCACCCGCACTCGTCGTCGTCGGTGCGCCACTCGCATTCGTAGTTGCTGGCGCCGCGTTTGTTGTCGACGTCGACGACGACGTGTTTGCCCGTGCGTTCGACGGTGACGAGGATGACGACGAGTTTGGAGATGATACGTCTATTGATGTCGCGGCCGGCGATGCACCCGTGTTCAATCCGCGGGTTTTCTCCTTCCAGGTCTCGTTGCCATTATCCGTTTTGATCGACGAGAACTCTGTGAAAAGATGACAATTAGTAAATGTATCCCAGTTAAGTTAATCGCATACTGAATTATTTAATGATGTGACTTTTAATTTATCATGAAATATCAATACAAATAATGCTATACTTTTTTTTGAAAGTATCAATAATAATATAATATTTAACGCAAATTTTTATAGTGTTTAATTTGTTTTATTATATTGTTTTCAAATGTATCAGTATATTACTTAATAATTTCCAAATGTATCGATATTATTACTAGGTAGTCGTAAACTTCTCTTAAAAATCATTATCAAGTTGTTTCAAGTTCTTTCCTATATTAATAGAATTTTTTAATAATTATTTTATTACTCTAAATATCCAAATTACTTTATATTATCCAACTTTTAATTATTGACACTTTCTCTAAATATTATAGACAGCAATATTTTTCTAAATAATGCACGAGATTTCTTTCAAAATATCGTCTTGTCAAAGATGATACTTTTGTAAGATTTCGGTGCGGTACATGCGAAAGCTGTAAAATAAGACTAAAATATAAATAAATAACTTTTTAATTTAATAATACATAATTAAAAAGTATTACCACATGCACACAAAGATCTAAATATGTATCGCTACTGATTATATGTATCAGCTACTAAAATGACTACATTTGAATGATATCAATTTAAGATTAAAATAGAAAATTGTACATAGTGCTATAAATAAATGTAACTTAATAAAAATATATCATTATAAATGAGGGATATAGAGAATGAGATAAAATATATTGAATAAAATGCCAACGAGATATTGGTGTCGAAGAAATTAATCGAGTGAAAATTGTACCTTTTTTTACGTGCGTATATATTTAGACAGTGTAAGTGTATCTGATAATGATGCAATATAATCTAACAAAATCAATTATGAGAAAATTTTCTACCATTAAATTGTAAAAATTAAAAAGGGAAGAAAAAAATTCGAGGAGAAAAAAAAAGGAATAAATGAAACATCATATAATAATATAAACGTAACGTAAAATCATATACACATATACATATATATTTTTCTTATTTTCCACAATTTCTTTGCTCTTCCTTGAAGAGAAAAAGAAAATAAAACAACAATGCGCAACATGCAAAACAAAGGTTGTAAAAAATAATAATCGCTGGCCTCTCGTCGCGGTTGGCTTTTCGATCATCCTGAGTTCTTCAACACGTGGAAGAGTCCTAAGAATCGCTCTGGAGAACATCAGGATTGAATCGTTTTTTTAAGCAAGCCGCGACGAAGGGAACTTAATATCTACGAATCGTCTCCTCGGCAGCCGCGATTTTGATTTTCTTCCCCCAAAAATAATCGAAACTTTTAGATAAAACAATGACTATCTTGTAGAAATAATTCACTTGTAAAATCAAAGTCTATTTTTCCTGTAATTATTGCAAGTGTCAATCTTTACTGACAACTCTGCACTGCGGAAATGTTTGTCGCTTCGTAGGAAGTAAAAATCGATACTTTACAATATACATTGAAAAATGGTTGCAAATATTCTACAAATAAAAAAGAATTTCTAGGAGAATTATAATATTGTCATTCATAATCTGACCGCCGAGAGATGAACGGCGGCCAAAGAGACGAATGCGCTGGAACGAAACTAAATAAAAGTAATTTTTGGCTAAGAGTAACGGTGCTTCGTGACGAGTGCGGGGAGGTCTTTTGACATCCTGTGTCGACGTACAAATAAAATATGTATAGGTACATACAAATCGAGATGCACACGGTATCGAATTCCGGTGTGATACCAGCGAGAACGTTTGATGCACGTGAAACTCGCGTCCTGAACCGTCGAAGAAGTTATGAGACAGTTGCGCTACGATTATGGCACTTTATTATATTAAGAAATGGTATTAACGTTATCTGGACCACGGCGAATATTACGCAAGATTAATCATTTCTCATTTTAATACATTATTAGTACACTTACTAAAATTTTACTCAAATCGTAAATTAAAATTCTCACTGCAGCAAAGAGAAGCACTGACTATCTTTTCTCAATTTAACAAAATTAATATATTAATTCAATAACTAAGTATTCATAATTAATAATTCTCTCCATACGCATCTAAATATTTAACTAAGAATACGAAATTTTTCTTTTGATATTCTAGCGAGTCGTGGTCTAGAGAACATATTCTTTTTGTTAGAGCAAGACCGGCGGTTTCACGTGCACGTTATCGTATAACACAATAATAACGCAAAAATGGAGCTGAGAAAGGAAAGGAAAAAAGACGAAAAAAAAACAACAATTACTACTACATACGATCACTACATTTGTTAGTGGCATTGGTAGTTACCTTTCCTCTCGAGTCAACGGGATTAGAAAGAAAAAATGCGAAACCGTCGCCGTCTTGTAGACGAAACGCGGAAAACGTTGGCCGCAAATATTTCTGCTTCCTCTTCTCTCTTTTTGAACACATATATTTTGTCACACTTAATTCCCATCGATCTTTGCGTTCGTAACAACGATTGCAAATTCGCTTGACAAAGATGTTCTCACACTCCCTTTCTCTCTCACTTACATTCTCTCTCTCACTCTTCTTTTATTATCATTTACCGTGATATATGTCGTTATTTGATAATTAGGTACGACTGACTTTTAACGAGATACGCAATGCTTTCCCTTTTACAGAAATTTTACCGTTTTCTCAACGGTAAGTTTCATCACTCACGGATCTCGAAAAGTCGTCAGGTAAACAGAATGTCCCGAAAGATTTCTACGAAAATTTAACCGAATCGATTCGATCGATTAAATCAACGGATTTTTGCAATTCGTGCACGCGATGAATTTAAGTATTTTAGATTGAAAAATTGATATGATACTTTGAATTGTCCACGGACTGTGCTCGCGGGCATCCAGAAATTAAGCCTCTAGTACGATTTATTACAAATCAACGTAATTCTTTCGAGACACCGTGTATAACGGGTTATTCGGTGGATAACGGATTATTTCAGCGAGATATTTAAGAATTCTCCGATTTACAATCTATTGAACACCGTTCTTTTTATTATTGATAGTCATAGTCGAACAATCAGTGCATATAAAATATACTAAGTCTACCTAGCGTCAGAAAAGACTCGTCAGCTCTAGAAAAATTTCCTATAAAATTTTCGCCCTCCCCTCTTTCTCCATATTTTTTTTTCTCTTATTAAATTCTCGCCCTTTCGGAAAGCGAAACTCTCTCTTATATTTGGCACTGAGAATGCGATCGTCGATCCATCCCTTCGACAAAGGGAGAGGGATACGCGCGCGATAACAATTTATTTATTTTTTTCGCCTCTCACACTACAATCTTCACATCTCGCTTTTCCATTTCTTTATTTTTTTTTTTTGTTCAACATTGTCGTTATTTTATGTCGCTTAAGAAAGGCACCGAACCGGGGACTACTCGCGCGTTTAAAACATCGGATCCCGCATGAAGAGCACATGTTAAATCAATGTATTTGCGTTGCGCGTTTTCGCATTTAATTACAAAAATCTCGGAGGTCGAACGATCCCTTTTGCTTTCGTAATTGTCGATCCTCGCGATCGTCGATCTGCTCCCCTCTCTTACATTTGTTTCGTTTTTTATTTTTATGTTTACCCTCGTTTTCTGACGCATCGTCTCGAAACTGCAACGACGTTATATATAATAGGTATTATCAACTAGCGCTAAAATATATTCGATATAACTTCTGTTTATATATATATAATATATATAATAATGATAATAATAATAATAATAATCGCAATAATATATGTATGTATATATATAATATATATGTACTATTTGTTTAACTCTCACTTTCACTCTCTCTCTCTCTCTCTCTCTCTCTCTCTCTCTCTGTCTCTTTCTCACACACTTTCATTCTCGTTCTTTGTATACGTGTACATCCGTGGGTAATTTAATTGCGATAATAAACTATGATTCTTTCTTTAATATATATAGATGTGTATGTATATATATATTTTTTTAATTTAATATATATATTATATTAAAATCTATTCGATAGTACAGTCTGCTTTTTAAGCCTCGTAAATTAATCTTTCTCTCTTTCTCTGACTCTCTATTTCTTTCTTTCTTTCTTTCGCGATGATGGGTTTTTACTTGCAATGATGTGTGTCGCGCGAGAAATCTACAAGAATAATCAATTCAATATATATTGACTGGTGGTCCCTCCCTTTCACGAGGGAACGAACGCAAAACAAGACGAGAAAAATCTCGACGCGACACCCCTGCAAGAGTTAATTCGCATAAATATAATATATATATATATTTATAATATTAGATGTACAAATTAGTTCGGTCCGTTTTTTGTGTTCAAACATGCATTTATTTCAAAACAAAATTAATGAACAGATTAATTAAAGTATTGTCCATCGCTGGCTACTACTTTTTCCCATCTCTCAGGCAATTTTCGAATTCCATTTCGAAAAAATAACTCGTCTTTGGAGGCGATCATCTTTTGGAAAACGGACCGAACTAATTTGTAT